GCCTACATTTTCATACGACTATTTACGATCGACGTATATATATATATAGATAGGCCTACATATAATGCACTGAACAAAACAATTAGCGGAGCACGTGACTGCTCTAATCGAGGAGTGACAAAGAACATCATCGATTCCATTTCATATTACACAGATGTGCAGCAGTTTTGGATCATACAACCGGCTAAAGTCAACACAATACCCTGTATTTACTGTCAATTTAATTTAGCTGCAAAGTATGTCTTAAGACAGGGGTGTCCAACCCGCGGCCCGCGGGCCACATGCGGCCCAAGGCAAGTTCCAATGCGGCCCAATAAACGTGTAAACAAAACCGACAAAATGTTTTAATTTTTTTATTATTTATCTATTTCAACGGCATAAACTCAAAAAAGAAGTTTCACAAAGCGGTAAACCTTTATTCGTATTTTATTCTTGAGTGGAAAGGAAATATTTTCAAATACTTGGAAATGTGTGAATGAGGAAGGATTACTAAATAAAGCTGGAGTTGTGACTCAAAGGATTATAGACCCAAATTTGGGAAAAGGAGGGAAAGATGAGAAAAAACAAAAGATGTAGTAGTGAGAAAGGTTAAATAGATCTTCTGTTGACCCTTAATTTTCCAACCTTTCTCACTTTTTTATCTTTTGTCCTTTCTCTCCTTTCCCTGCACTTGGGTCTATAATCCTTTGATTCACAACTCCAGTATTATTTACTATTTTTTCCAACGTTGCAAGATTTGGCTACATTGCGCCAAATGTGGCTACTTTTTTTGTTTGATGCAAAAAATATCATTTGGCGCTTTGGCTACTTTTTGGGCTACCTATTATTTATATTAGTTGAATAAAAATGCACTTTAAAATGGTGTTTCGTTGCTTTTTATTAATTAGAGACCCAAATATAACAAATGTCTGTGTCTTTCAAATAAATTTCCGTTTGTCTCTTTTATAATAAATGAATTTATCTATTTCTAAGTAAAAATTGAAAGTGTCTGTAGAAGTAATTTTTAAAATATCCTTTTTCTTGATAAAGTTTTAATACTTATTATTATAATCTAGACATGTTAATCCTTAAATATACTTGTATATTGGACCACAAGTATATATGTACTGTACTTGTGGCCAGTGGCGTAGCGTGGGTGTCAGCCGCCCGGAGAAAAGGAAAATTTCGCCGTTCCCTTATTTAGGTATCTCAATTTAAAAGACTAAAATTCAGTTTCCTCACAGAATAAGTAATGAAAAATTCCGTGCTAGGGTTGCCACTTTTTTTAAAATCGCCGACCCGGACGGCGGGTGAGGTTTGTTCGAACAGAAGTTCCTGACGCATGCGTATGTCATTTTGCAATGCGAAGAATAATTTGCAGTGCATGCTGGTTCTAAATCAGTTACAGTTAGCGACTAGAGAGACTTGGATAGGAGTAATGCGAGTGACCTAGCTCTATTAGATATTGTAGGTGTATATATATACGAATAAATCGTACAAGCAAAAAAAAACAAAAATAAAAAAAGGTCAACAAGTTGCGCACGATATCCCCGGACGGCGAGTCAATTCCCGGACTATCCGGATGGATGGTAATACTATTCCGTGCTCATTTCAATCGGTCCGAGTCGTAGGTGCACGAAAATATGAAATAAAATGGTTCAAATTCTTACAAGATATTATTATTATTTATTGTCAAATTTTGCCGCCCCCTAAAAAGTACCGCTCGGGGCGGGCCGCCTCTGCCGCCCCTTTACACTACGCTACTGCTTGTGGCCCAAAACTCCTTGACTTCTTCCAATGCGGCCCAGAGAAACAAAAAGGTTGGACACCCCTGTCTTAAGAGAAGATTAGGAGAAATTTTTTAAACTAGATTAAAAATCTCCTATGGTGTATAAATATTTTTAGCTGAAATCCTATTGAAGTCAGTACTTTACCTTAGAAGTTGGTTATTGATAAGTCATGTGATTTTCATAGACAGCAGTGGCGTGCAGTGACATTTGATGATAGGGAAGATGTGTTTCTGTAAGAAGCCGACTTCCAGGGGCAATCAGTCAGTGATGATCTAGGGTCCATTCGTATTCGTTTGTTCGATAAGCCAGTAAAAAATGTAGACTTTTCTAAATGTATTTTTAATTAATAGATTATCTAACGCACTTAATAAATAAGGAACTTCATTATATAGTCTTGGGCCAAAACTTTTTTCAAATAAACTTTCAATATCGCAATTACATTCTAAATTGTTGGCCATAATATAAGGCTAAAATTAAAAATAAAATTATAAAAACTGACTTGTTAAAATAAAATGTGTGATGGATATACATTTATACATACCTGGTACAAAATATACAATTGTATGAATAAACTTTTAAAAAGTTTATAATTAAATATAGTTTTGTGAAGAAACGTACATAAAAATAACATAAAATATTATTTACTTTTTAAATATTAAAACAATCCACTTAGTTAAAATTGCTCCCTACCAGTTGCTCATGGATGAAATTAATGTCAAACGCCTGTTTTGTCGCATCACTAGTATACCTCAAAGGATGCGACAGGGTTGTTATAAATTTTAAACGTTTCTCACCATAGCTGTAAAAATATAAATATGTTAAACTTAAGAGTTATTTGTTTTCTAACTAATTTGTTTTAGGACCAGGTGTTGTTCACGGAAATTTCCAAAATTTACAACTTTTCGGACACTCTTGTCGAACTGGAAAAATTTCTATCTTTATTACGTCTAATATTACGAAGAAGTCTCCACTGTACTCGGCTAGAGATAGTTCGGTTACGCTTTCAAGTAATATTCCGGCTCTTTCGTCAGGGTTTTGTTTATGTCCCGAATTCTCTAATCGCTTAATTATTTAATTACTTCTTAGGTAGAAATAAGTCGAAACCGGTTACTTTGTACTCGAATATTTGTATTCTCGGGAAATAGTGGAAAGACAAATTATTATGACAAACGGATACACAAATCGTAAATGTAAGGAAAATAAATTCTAGAGCTTTTTCTGTACTTCGTGCATCTCTCCCATTCATTAAATTTAGTTGTAAATGATGCTGTCAAAGTAACAGCTCATTTTTTAACATTATACAAGAATTGTACACGTTTTCCTCTACATCCCCTTAGAGATGGGACATACGAAATCGTAATATCGCTGGTTTAACATTGAAATTCGTGAGTAATATAAAATGGGAGAGCGGAATAAAAGCAAAATAAATATATCAAATATTTTAATGGATATTTTTTAACTTATGTCAACTAAACAGAACTTTCATAAAAACATACCGGTAAATTCTTATCGGTTGGGTTAAGTTATAAATCTATTCGCAATTCACATAATGGGGCGAGGACGGCCAAATATCTATCGGGCGGGCGGCAAACAGCCCAGAACCGGTCCTGGATAGAATCGTTGGAAGCGTTATACGTGTGTAGCTTCCATCAGCTAAACCAGGTGAGGTTGGTGCTGTGTAAAGCGTATGCGCGAATGAGTATAATCTGGCTGTTTGGAAGCTGACAATACAGCGCTTCCACTCCGCCATGAATATACAATAGCGATCTTATCGTTTTTTTCACATGTAACATAGAAATTTGTAATAAGATAGGCTACATAATGCGATTATAATAAAATATTAATTTTAATTATATGAAAATAATCGCCCAATATGTATTTATTTTTTAGGAAATACAAGGGAAGCAGCGCTTCCACCGCTTTCAATGACGGCATGCCACTGGTACAGTAGAATGTACAGTGATGCCTCGTATAACGTACTTAATCCGTTCCAGGTGCACGTCCGCTAAGTGAAAAGTCCGTTATACGAAACGTATTTTCCCATAGAAATACATGTTAAAACATATAATTAATTCCACAGCATAAAATAACCGTACTGTACCATAAAAATATGAAAATGGAGCAGTCACCAATTATGCCGGGTAGCCAGATTTTGTGAGGAGGAGGTGGAGGAACACTTTCTTTACACATTCATACAGATACAGACTTTGTACACATTTCAGCAGGTCTCTTTTTATTGTTTTTTAATCGGAGTCAGATTCAGGAGAGGCTACCGGAGCTTGCAGGGTCATCTCCTCTTGTTCCATCCTTTGTTTTTTGGCAGCTGGCTTCTTGAAAAACATGTCCAAAGTGGTCTGTTTCTCTCTCTTCTTCGACACTTGTCGGAAATGACGGGCAAGGGTGTCATTGTAGAGATCATTGATCCTGTTGGCCTCGGCTCTGTTTGGATAATGAGTGTTGGTAAACTCCTTAACCTCTCCCCATTTGACAAGGAAGCTTTTGTCAATTTTCACTCCTTCTGATGATGTCTTGCTTTGTTTCAATTGAAATCACCTTTCTGTTTTTTTAGAAGCCATGATTTGAACAACACTTGAATAAATGTAAATACCCTTCACTGAGGTGATGTACGTAATAAACAAGGGAGCAAGCCGAATCCCAATGGAAGCTCTGTACTTCAGATATACTAATAATATATTTTAATTATACTGTACTAATATATTATTTTTATAATAGTGATATAATAGTAGTAATATAATATTTTAAAATAATAATAGTAATATAATATTTTTATAAACGTGTAGAAGTACCCGTACAAACTGAATAAAGATGGAAAAAAGCCAAGTGTTTAATTAATAACACAATCTTGTGTTCAACAGTCAAAAACTAACTCCTGTCTTAATTAATTAATCATCTGACTCCGATTTAAAAACCACAGAAGACTTCACAGCCCTGATTTTAACTTAGTAAATTCAAATGTAAATTCTAATTACAATTTGTATTCAAATTTACTAGGTTAAACTGGACTATGACAAGTTAAGATGGTTGAAAGCTTTTTTTCTTCTAGTGAAGTGTTTTTACTGGTATTAGTGTGATTATTTGAGCTTTGTCCAGTTGTATTACCTGTTTATTTGAATTTATACTCTCTTACTTATATATTATATTTGTATTAATTTAGTTCTGAATCATTTCATGTTACTTTACTTAATATATAGACAACACCTGAAAGAATAATTATAATTTTATTGCAAAAAATAACGGTAGAATAAATGAATTGTAAGAAAAGTACTTCTGTAACATTATTTTTACACTTCAAAATTGTTTTCAGGGAGTATCGGTATACATATATTGTGCATTTTCTATTTACCGACATCACAAACACAATTACACGAACAAGTAAAGAAAAACATTGAAAATTGAAAGCAAAATTTTACAAATGTCTTATTTACACAAATAGGAAGTCCGATTTTCATAAAGTATCACAAGTAAATACTTCAGTTCTGCCAAACCTATGAATCTCCATATATTTTAAAACAAATATCATGTGAATAAGTGCATTGATACAATGCAGAAAAAAGTACAGTAATCGATAAAATTTCAGTAAGATAAAACTCGAATTTGCTACTATGTCTCTATATAAAGTGAATATCTAACATTATTTGGTGTGGAGATATTAATAGCCAGATTTCTTTTCATATATATAAAAATAATTTGTTGTAGAAACTACAACCTGACAGGAAATAGTTTTTATACATACTTAAATTCTTCCCTGGTTAGTTCATTTGTTTATAATTATCAAATGAAATAAATACATGAAAAACAAAAACAATCTTCTTATATACACACAAGGTCACACAAATAATGGATTTTTATCACTAGATTACAAACTGATCAAACAGAATTTATTTATTTAAAATAATCTGTTACTAACATTGGCAGTGTATTCTCTTTATTCACAGTTAGATTATTTAGATAATTTTTATCAATTTTGGAAACAATCATGTCTTCAAAGCAGTTATAATTCACAAACCTATTAAAAGTGGGCAAAAAAACTACATCATTAGTTAGGCTATTTATCTAGAGAAAGCTTGGACCTCAACAGACCAGTGGTTCTCAAATATGAGGATGGTTGTCTTTGTTTTTGTTTAAAAATATAATTTTTTTTAATAGTCTTTTGATAATACACAAATACAGGGTCTTTCAAAAAGAATGTCACAATTTTAAATTACTGTAATTATGTTAATTATTACCTGAAAACAATTTAATATATTTCTGAACATAGAAAATAAAAAAAAACTCCAAATTTCACCAACAATATCCAATTTCTTCTGAGCCATATACTTTGCAAAGATTTACAGGCCATTCTTCTTGATAGAAAGAACAGTTTCTGGATTCATATACATGGACATGCTGGAAAAATGACTGTTTCCTCATGTAATATCAAGAATTTGATAACTACACCTTCCAGCAAAATGGGGCTCTGCCTCATTTTCATAGGGAGGTTTACAAAGTTTTCAATTTTGTGCTTCCATAGTGATGGATCACAGATCATGGGCTCAATGACAATCTGTTGTTTTGCTGGTCACCTAGGTTTCCAGGCCTGACACCCTGCAATTTCTTCTGGAACTATATGAAAGACACTGTCAATGTGCAACTGCCCAGGAATGTGAAGAAGCTGCAGAATTAAATCATGACTGCTTTGGGAAGAGAAAAAAATGGATATGTTGCAGTAAGTTGGATATTGAGGGATTTTTAACACAGTTATGAAATTATCATAGGTTTTTTTATTTTGTGAAATATTTAAATCATTTTCAGATAATAATTAACATAATTATAGTAATTTAAAATGGTAGCATTCTGTTTGGAAAATCCTATACTTTAAACAAGACAAAAGTGAAATGGCACACAGAGATACTGCAAAATTAAATAAAACTTCATTTTGTATTAACTTCATTATAGTAATAGAAACAACAAAACACAAGGATAACTTACAATGATGCTATAATGTATGAACAGTAGTGAATAGAATATTGAATGTATGTATGAGTTGTATTTGAAAATAATGATATCAATCATTTCTTTGCATCATGAGATGTGATGTGTCTGACAGTTTGAAAACCACCACTCAGGAAAGATAAAATCACATAGTCTTGTACACATTGACAGGGAACTTGGACTTCATAAAAGCCATTGGACCCAAAGCCTTTATGAGGCATACAATTTGCATAGTTACATACACAGAATCTAACTTAGAGAGCTCAAATTCTATAAATATGTGGAATTCTATTCTTCTTCCAAGCTTGTGAAAATTACAGAATCCTATTCCAAGCAACTATTTCTCTATTATTCACAAAGTTAATTATAGAGAAATAGTTGCTTGGAATAGGATTCTGTAGGATAGTATGATTAATCATAATTTCTTTAAATTCTGTGATCATTAAATGAATATAAACACTAGCAATATTAGTAGCAAATATTTTTTATCATTAATTTTACTTACCAAATTATAGAACAATAATAAAAACCCAAAATTTAGTTAATTTGTGTAAAAAAAAATGCTGAATTAATTTTCATGAACTCTGTAGAACTCTATGCACTATGACAGATTTTTCCATATATTTATATGAATAGAATGAACTTAAAGGACAATGAATAACTTACTTTCTGTTTTGCTTAAACTATCATCAAGTGAAGAAATAAAATTCTAATGTAATATTGCAGGTAATGCACTGTCGTTTTTGGTATTATAAAATTACTTTATCAAAAGTTAATTAAGTCTTATTCAAATACAGAACTGCAATACTTATAAACTATATACTAGTCATTTACTATTTCAATTTCATCCCAAGTGTTTGCATCTGTATTTTCTTCTATTTCAAAATATAAAGATTCTTCATCCAGATCGACATCCATAAATGTATTTTTGGATGTGTCAGTCTCCAATGTCCTTACGACTGATGGAAGTATCGTTTCTGAACTTTTTATTACATTTGCACAATCTTCTTGTTCTGTAAATAAAAATTAATAATTTAAAATTTGGATTAAAATTTACATAAATGATTCAAATAATTTAAGTTTCACAAACCTTTCCTTTCAATGCTTTCATAAGAATTGTACTGAGCAACAGTATTGATGAGTGGAACAAGATGGAATTGTGTATTCTCATTTACATTAATTAGTGAAGGTAGATTCTTGACTGCAAAATTAACATTATTTTTCTCTTCTTGCTCTTTGACTTTACCACAAGTTTGGACAGCTTCAGATAACATTTTATTAACTGTAGTAGTTTGATTTTGCAAAAACTGAGAAATATCACCTCTTCTAACACTACAGTTTTCAACTTCCTGATTTGTGACATCTTCTGTTTTTGTACCCTTTAACAGTGTTTTAAGAATTGCATTGTTCACATTCTTATTTTCAATAACTGAAATTTTGGAAATCTCAGATGAAGTTTTGTTAACTGCATTTGTATTCTTATTCTGTGAAGATTGAGCTAGCTTATTTCTTTTACTTCTTAGTTTTGCTAAATAACTAATTATGTTCTTTTTTAAGACAATTTGGCAACTGAATTTTTTACATTTCACTAAGTGATTGGCTAAAAATTAAATAAAACATTTATGTTATTAAGGTTGAAAATTTGATTAAGTAAGAGAAAAATTTTATTTTATATACAAACCTATTACATTACCCCTGAATGAATAAAAACTACATTTACATACTGCTGGATCCTCTAGAATAATAGGTTTAAGAACCCTTTTGGCATGTACATTCTTTTTGACTTTAGTATGCTTGTATATCATATGATTAACAAAAGCTTTTGAACAGTGTGTTGAATATTCACAAGTACCACAATTTAGAAACCTCCTAAAAGAAATAAATATATCAAATTATTTAAAAAATGATTCTTTGTTAGAATTTAAGTTAATTTTAATTCAATTATAGCATTAGTACTGACATACAAATAATGCAAATTTAAAAAATATTACTTAAAATTGAGGTTCACAACAGAAATATAGTAGTACAATTGGTTGCCACTGAATTTCTACTGGAAATGAAATATTATCTTATTCCAATCATTGACTTTGAAACTACTATTGTACAAAATACAACCCACAAAAACACACGTTAGCTTGGAGATAGAAAATAAACAGGTGTATAGAGATATGTTAGTTATATTACACTATATGATATATCACTCTGTCTCCTGACATGAATAATATAATAAAGAGCTACTGTAGTTACTGAGAAATATTTGAAATAAAAATCTACTAGTTAGATCATATTAATTAAGATAAATTTATTAAGTTAAAATATAGTTTAGCTTGATTATTATTATAATCAGGCCCACTAGTGGCTAAGCTGTTTCCGTCCCTGAACACTGGGAGTTCGGTCGTAGATTTGTGCCACGTCTGTAACACCTAAGTAGGGGCTAGTTACCCTTAAAAAGACCTCCCAGACAGAATCCTCCTTAGGCAGATTGCCCAAGTATTGCATTGCTATAACTTAATAAAACAAACAAACAAATACTATTATAATGCATTGACTACAAAACTGAAATAACTGAATTTTATTAAATATTCTTTTTAATTATTAACGAATTGCATTCATTTATAAACAGTTAACAATGAATTCAGTTAAGAAGACAATGCTTATTAGTTGATATCCATCAAAATTAATCCAATTAAGTGTTCTTGATAAGGACTACAAGTCAAGTCCCTACAGTTTCTAATTGTTATTAATAGTAGCTTAGTGGTTAGTCATGCCAGAAAGATATCTCTGTCCTTTTCCATTTATGTCAATGTCACATTGTATTTTTCATATTTTGAGCTGAGATCATTTTTAATGTTTTTTGTCTATGACTTCTTTTAGTGCTGAAAATGCAGTGAAAAACAAACATTACCAAACTTTCTTTTTCTTACCTGGACAAAGATCTAGCATTCTCATAATTGTGTAACTTGTTTTCCTCCCATTTGATTATCATTTTATGACCATTAACAATCACCACAATTAACCCAACATTAGTCATTAATATCCAATTATAAATTATTAATATAATATAACATTACTCAGAATAAGATATGAAAACAAATTCATACAAACCGTGAGAACTTTTTGATACTAACACCATAATTCTATTTTATATTTACTCCACAAAAGTAATATAGCTATTTCCAATCACATGATAAAAGAAAATCTGTGTTAATATTCAGTGTGAGAGAAATTACTTAATTTTTTCTTTTTAATGTTTTAACTGATTATATATAAATGCTGGGAATGACAAATTAAATTTAAAACAAAGTGACAAGTAGAAGGTTATATAGGGTGTTGAAAAAGTTACTGTACAGTGAAAAGGTTTAAGTTTTAATTAAAAAAAAAAAGTGAAATTGTATGTAAATGCTACAGTTTGTCTACAACAAATATTGAAAATGTTTCCTAGAGGACCCAAAATCAAGGAGAGCAAGGTCCAAATACCTAGAAGGTCAGACTCTGTGAGAGATTACGTGATCAGCAAAGAAGTCTTCCAAAAACAGGAACATCTGTGAGCAACTAGTAATACCATGTTTCACAAAATGGAAATACTGAATGTACAACTTACAGGTCTTGTATACAATGCTGTACATGCAATTTTAACATCATATAAATTTCTCAATGCACAGTAACTTTTTGGACATATGCATAAAATTGATTTTTATCAATCATAAGAAGAAAGGAGCATCTGGCAGGAATTTTCATGCCATTTCATCTGATTCAAGCTGAAATCAAGACATGATTTCATTAAATTGATTTTTAACTTCATAAACCTTATTTATAGAATTATATGTTGTTATTTTTTTTATAAGTTATAAAATCTGTTGTTTTAGTTTTTTAATTCATCTCACAAAACACTTACAATGGCTTTGCAACATAGTAGTTTAAAACCATTTAGCTAGATTATATAAAAATTGATTTGCTTAAATACTTTGAAAGATAAAATTGTAATGTTTTGTAATTCAAATCAGTATATTCTTTTCTATTATTCTTAAGTGATGTTTTAAAAATACAAACTTACCCAAAATGCATGGCATTCATAGAATGACCACATTCACAGCATACAGATGAAGGTCTATTCAAACTCTCTTCAGTAAGAAACAATTGCTTGTTGAATTTTTTAGGAATCCTTTGTCTGTAAACTTTGTCAGAATCCAATTTAATGGGAACAACTCCTAAATACATTATTTACACATTATCATCTTAATAAAAGCTAAATTCTTAAAATATGTCAGTAATTAATAATAAATATTAACATTTTTATAAATATATTGAAAACGTTCAACACATTTGGAACGCAAGTTACTTGGAAATCGATGCAAATTATCCTAAACAATTCCTAAAACCAGACTTCATTAAATTTACTTGTTCATCAAGTTGTGTTCTTATGACAAAATGTTCTTAAAAATGTTAGCATAAATGTTGTTTTTATATATTTCCATTATTTTTTTACTTCTGAATTAATTAATTATAAAATTCCCATTAATTTAATCTTAGTAAGTTTTGCATTTATAAAATATATTTAATGTTTTATTAGCATATTCTTTTTCTTTACTCTTACAATAAATTTTATTTTTTTATAAGCCATTTGTTGTAGCTACAAGTTATAATGCTAAGTTACCTAAAAAAGCAGCTTTGATTTCTACCTTTACAATATGATGCCAAGGACTTTTTAACTTAAAAATAATGTGTTAAATTACAAAAATAATGTTCATAATATTAGCAAATGATTGATCATTAATAAATATTGCTTAAATATATTGTATATAAATTTCAAAACAAATGATGTACCAATGCATGATATAAGTAAGAAAAATCAAAGCCAAAACGATAGAAAATACAATAGGATCTAATGTTATATACTTAATCCTTTGATAATGTTCAAAATATTTTTAACAGAAATACAGTGGGTGATCGGTTAACGAACACTTTCGTGAAAGATTTTTATGTTTAGACAATGAACACTCCACAGACCAAACACAGAAGAAGCGACATAAAATAATGAATACTGATTGGTCTTCCCTTGTCTTCGAGCAACAATTCAAAACTTTTTGGAGTGTGGGAGACGTCAAAATTGACGCTCAACCCATATATACTGATTGGATAGTATTCCTCCAAACTTTGATACTCTCCCTTGAAATTCCAGCCTTTTATTTTTCTGACAAAAACAATTCTTTTATGTATTCGTGAGACTGTCAAGTAGGAACTCGTTAAGTTTTGCATCTGTTTTTCTTTTTAAAAGGTGAGAGTATAATCACAAAGGTAGAGAGTGGGCAGAAGGTGCCTAATGTTACTGGGCAGTATGGCGTAAACAGGTCTACAGTAGGCCGCAGTTCAATCTTATTTAAGAAAGATACTGTATAATCAAGAAGACTCAAGCAGCTAAAGGTATAACAAAAATCACATCTGAGAAATAAAGAACATCAAGAGTTAATAATGGAACCTGAAACAGAACTGATGACTGAATAATGCCAACAAACTTGGCGAGATATGTTTTCTTCTGAAAAAGAGGATTATTGCTGATATCTGCTATTAAAGATCTTTTGAAGAAGTGGGAGGATGTCAGAACAACGGTCTTAGAATGGCATCCAAACCAGGTTGAGGCTTGGGATTTCTACAATTACAATGCTATTAATTACCTCAGAAAAATCCTGAAGAAGAGAGAAAAGCAATTGACATTAGACAGATTCTTTAATCTTTTCAAACGGAAAAAACATGACTAATAAAAATGCAAGTAGTAAGAAAGTATATATTTTTTTATTTTTGGGGGTCTCCAGAACGAATTAATTAAATTCCCATTAAAACCTATGGTAAATCAATAATCGGTTAACAAACAAAGTCTTGGAATGGATTATGTTTGTTAACCGATCACCCACTGTATATAATAAAAATGAATGATTATCTAATCCTACTTTGTTCAAACATGTTCTTTCAAATATATTTATCTTCTTAATTCTATAACTTTGTTTGTTCTATTATATTCATAAGTATAAAATGAAATATATTAATATAATTTTCTATTTATTACTGTCCATCCTACAATACCATTTAATCAAAATACAAGCAATTAATACAAAAATCTGTCAACTCTCTTTCCTGATTTCATTTGTTAATTATGCACTAATCTTATGTAAGAAAATCTTTTCACCCTGTGGAAACTAATAAGGCCTTTCTTCAAGTCAATGTGAGTTTAGCTAGGCCCACAATGGAGTGGCCAACTTGTGAAGGATGGAACAGACCATCTCCAAAAAATTCCTGGTGTTTTTGACCACCTGGGTCCCGATAGTAGTAAACTGACATCATAACTAGCTTGGACATCCAGCCAATTATGCTATATGTAATAATACATAATATTGTATTAAAGATATAATTGTTGATGCTTAAAATTATCATCTTTGTGATCTCTCGTTGCCATCACTATCTTCATGTCAATAAATCTTATAATAGATGATTATGTTTCATTTTGAAAATTTGGTTTCTATCATATAAAATTTTGCAACTTATAATTGAAAAAATAATGCAATTTTATATAATTTGTCATAAATGTGAGAAATCGAAATTATATAATTACGTGATTGTAATTGTTTGCATTTTGAAACACTTTACTCACTGTTGGTATTGTTTTCCAGTAACCATAATAGTTAATAATAAAGTTTTCTGACCTTACTAATAGATCTAATATGTGACTATTCATGACAATTATGCAAATATATAATTTTTATTTCTCACATTTATATTATATAAAATTGCATTAAAATACCATCAAGTGAATTTCAAATGTTTATGAAGGTGTTTATATAAAATATGAAATGTATTAATTTTTAAATAACTCAACTTCCCACTGATTACAAACATTACAAAGATACCAATACTATACAGGATACCATCTTATTTGTTAACTAATTTTTTAAACAAAAAATTAAATATATTCATGTAAATTATTGTTTATAAACTTAAAATCATACCTTTACTAGACGCAATTTTTTTGTGATCGCGTAGGATATGTTTTGTTAACTCACTGCTGGAAATAAAACTCAAACAACACGCTTTGCACAGTTTTCTTATATCCCTATCTCGATGTTTTTGAAGATGAAAGAAATACTCTTCTGTATTACCCACTCCTTTTGTGGAAAATTGTATTTCAAAAACTTTTAGACAATATTGGCACAACAGTTTTTCAGTTTCATTATGCAACTACAAATCATAAATAATTAGGAGTTATAAATAGAAAATATAAAATATATTTTGTATTTCATATAATTTGATTTAAAAGTTTTAAGCTTACCTCATAAAAATGATTTAGGATATCTTGATGAAAAGATGTCCGATAATAGCAAATGTTACATAAGTATGGCATCTCATTTTGAACGTGTACTTCTTTCAAATGATTTGATAATTTTTCTACTTTAGTAAAATCTTGGTTACATATTTTACAAATGACTGAATTTGCCTTCAAATGAACCTAATAAATTGCCATCAAATTATTATTATTAAAATAAACAATTACTACAAATACATATAATACAATCATTATTATTATTATTATTATTAAGATTTAAAATTACAAACTAATTAATAAAATTATCTGAAATTCAAAATGATTTAAAATTTATTAATTAATTGCATCATCAGTAGTATTATTAAATAATGTAATTAGCATTCCTGAATGAAGACCAAGATAAATGAGCAATCATTTATTGTGACATCATCACAATGCACTTAAGTTTAATTAATTAATAGTATCTTGTCCCTGTACATCACACTTTTCCTGTTAACAATGAAGTCAAACTAGTCATCTATCTAACTCCATTCAGGAGAACATTTCTGAACTGAAATAATGTGACTTATTGCCCAAAATGGAAGTTCATATATAGTTAATTGGGGCCTTTTGCCCTTAAGCTTTCCGTATCTGGTCTTGATTGCATCTATCTAACCTAGTTTTCGAGATTAAGGAAGACAGACAGATGGACAACAGTGGGAATTTATAGGTCTACAATTTTTTCAAACTGTTGTCCAACAAAGGAAAAAAATCAATGACACAGAAATCTTGATTATACAGATTTTATTACTATATTTAATATGCTGGCCAGGTAATTGAGAAAGTTAAGGTGTCAACCTACCATTCTGGGAATGTGGGATTGAATCTTTGCACTCAAAAATCCCAAAAATTTTTTGAGAATGATCTGTCCCAGCTGTTCCTAATAGTGATGTGCCGGATATCCGTATCTGTATCCGCGGATATCCGAGGAAAAAAAAGATCCATATTCGTTATGTTTTAGCAAATCTTTAACAGATCTTTTATCTTAATGAATTTCATTACTTATACATGAAATTTTAAAGATAGGCAGCAATAAAATACTAATAACTTCAATTCAAATCACTTTTTATTTCTTAAAATCACATATTTGGCACATTCATATTGCAAAAATTTTATCATGCAAAATTCATTTACTATCGTAAAATATTTCCATATTACACTACTAAACTTTTTTATCAACATTGTTTTTATTTTAATTTAACCCAACACTCTCCAAAAACACAAACATAATCTATGCTATCCCGTGTCACACCAAACTATAAAGAAAAACATGTGCAGTGCAAGTCAAAACATGTCGTGTTACTAACACGAAGCGTCAACTATCAGTTTAAGGTCACACACACTGGCACCAATTCAGTACGAAAGTTGAGATCTGTATCCGTATCCACAGATCTAGAGACTAATGATCCGTATCTGTATCCATATCCACGGATATACATTTTTTACTATCTGGCACATAACTAGTTCCTAACCACCCAATAACTCATTATAGGCTTGGCTGAACCCATGACAAGCTTGAAAAAAGGCCCTCTTAGAGACCACAAGATGGAAAATGTAAAGAAAGTATATTTAGTAATTAAACAATAATAAATTTATAGTATAATTAAATGATTTAAATTATGTAAATTACTGTCAATGTGCATGTTATTAAAGAGTTTCCAAATTCGGCATTATATTGTTTATGTCTCAATATTTAATATGGGTGTGCCAATCATCTACTTAGATGATTGGTTTTCTGAATCAAAATTTGTTCAGTTAACACTGGTGGAAGAAGAAGATTGCCAAAATAATTGAGAGAAATGAGAATAAAGTTGCAATGAACAATTATAGACTATACAATAAAGTGTCTTTCAATGTCCTTTCTCACACCTCAAGGAAGTAACAGTCTTACAGCAGAGCTGACCTTTTATTAGATGCTGCTCATCCACCTCACTATGCAAAACATTACAAAACTTCCTCCCTCTTTTATATTCATAAATTGTTTATTAATTTTAGAAATTATCATAATAAATTGCTTGTTGGTAATATAAAAGAAATAATATCTACCAAATTAAAACATATGTTGATCAAGTTATATCAAATTACAATCAATGAGAATTTGAATAGCATTTTAGGATGTTCCTAGAAATATTTCAGAAAAGTTTAAATATATTTGGATTTAATTATCTACTATCTAACCATTTAGTTAAACAAATTTTGTAATTATGTTTTACTTTTGTAGAAATTGGCAAGTCAAATTATTTATTATGTTTGCATCTTACTATTAGTTATTCAATATCCATGAAGGAAAAAAATTGTATATGACTTTATGGGTACTGGATAATATTATGCATGATAGTAATAAAATAAATATATTGTATTAAAATTTAATTACAGGTATACCTCGACTTACGTCGTTTCGAGTTACGTTGTTTGTCAAAAAAGTATATGGAAAAATAAAAATCAAGTTTAAGTCATTTTATTCGACTTTATGTCTGTCCGCCACAAATATTGAAGTCGTAATATCACTAGAAAAGCGTTTAAAGCACATAAAATCATATTAAAATATATACATTTACAAGTATGTACTGTATTTACAGTACATGCATTCGTAAATTTAGATTACTTTTTTCTGTACTATATTAAAAACTAAAATTTATTTGTTTGTAAGCTTAAAATAGATCCTTATTAACCATACATTATTAAAAATGCATTAATAAATAAAATACAGAACCGGAAATGGTAATTTATGGTTTAGCCTAGTGACAAGTAGATTCGGAGACAAGTAAATTCGACTTACGTCGCTTTCCTGGAACCAATTACTGACGTAAGGCGAGGTATACCTGTACTGATTAATTTTAATAAAATAAACTTTACTGATGCTTCTGAGTTGTAATAATTCATTAAATAAAACTATTTTCTAATAACACACCATTGTAGTATAATTAAAACTTCATAATTAATGTTTATAAATATTTATTTACTTTATAAAAAGATAAATTTTATAAAATGTAAATACTCACATATTTTATGTGATGTTGCATAGCTGTGCATGTAGCAAAAAAGCGAAAACAATAGTTGCATTCACTTAGTTCATATAAAGATTTTTTACCACGTTCTATATCCATATCACCAAAAACATGATTCATAAAGTTGACATTATTTTTTATATTTATTCTACATTTAAGGCACTGAAAAAATTAATTCTATAAATAAAATATGATATTTAATTCAAAATTTTATTCATATGATTTTGATTACTTAAAATATAAGTTATCACAGACTAAATGATTTACAAGTGTACACCATGCAATACAATACTATAAAGCATTAAGAATGGTGTTGTCAAAGTTCCTATTAATCGTATATTTATGCTCTTTGGTACTTTGCTGCAAGTTGCACATTGTTGCGCCCACATAGACAAGATCTGAATTAAAACGCTGATCGTGTAATGGTATAGAATAGATCCCTGATGCCAATTTCCAGTCATAACACTTCTTATCGTTTCTTAATAGCTTGAAAACTGTAGGATGTGTTGATATATCACTTGGAAATTATTAGCCCCGGCTGTTTCTTTATGTATTTGTCTCAAAAATGGGACATAATTTAAAATCACCCTTTGTCTATGGTCTACTGTAGGATGCTGTTGTTTAGTTGTTTGGAAGGCTGCGATAAGTTTCTCTATGATTTCCTTTTGGTATCTCTGTTGTTCTGCAATCCTTAGAATATAGTTTAGCTCCGCTATCATGTCTTTTATACTTGTACAATGCGTATAAGCCCTTTTTATCCAGGACCTAAAGGCTGCCAATTTAATGTGATACGGATCACATCACATCTGCATCACATTAAATTGGTGGCCTTTAGATCCTGGATAAAAAGGGCTTATACGCATTGTACAAGTATTATTATAAAAGTCACTGAATCAAATTATTTTTAAAACTTCTAGAATCTCTTTTGAATACTGTGCATTCGGCTATGATTCTTGCAACCAATTGCACTGTACTATATTAAGCTCTCTTGTCTTTGTTGGCAAAGTACTCATTTCATTATTTGCCTCAGATAATTGGAACTTTATATGAAGTTTTTATCCTAATTTTTGTGATTAAAAATTTAAACTATTACTGTTTTACTGTTATAGTGTAATATTGATTGAAAATCAAAGAAACTTACAATTATTTGGGTTTATGAATATTTGTGTAGGCTCCAAAGAAATTTATTATTTAAAAACTCGTCATTTTCATAACTTTACATTAGCATGGGTCTAATATAAAATTTAGATATATATCTTATATATATAAGATTATCTATCTAAAATATTGCTTGAATTATAAATACATATTCATAAATAGTTTGAAACATTAATAATTATAGTGTAAATTAAACAAAAATCAAACTGCCAATAAATTAAATTATAGAATACATTTTGAACAAAACTAGTCTAAGTTAACTAAAAAATGAATTCTATAATAATAATGTTCCTTTTTACCACATCTCTATAAATTTAATAACTCATCAATCTGCATAAGCAACATAATTAATTTCTTCTAGATCAAGATAAATTACATAATTTAGCATGCAACCCAGATAATACAATTCAGTAACGCACAAACTGTGAAACGTGCTCAAGGGGATTACATAGAAATACTAATTGAGTTCAGAATTTTTCAATTTTCAATAAAAATATAAGTATTTGTTAAAAAGACTTGTTTTTGTATTTACAGAAGCTCCTCTACTTATGAATAATTTGACTCCACATCTAAAATTTAAATTTCATACAAATTCTGAAGTTCTCTTGCTAGTTATGGAGTGTTGTGTGTTTTTTCACCCGTAGCCTGGAAGATTCCTAGTTCGTTTTCAAAATGCATTGCAGTACTTCTTTAGCTCTGAAGTATTCTTGATTTGTCTACCTCAGCTGCTTTAATAGTGATATCATGCTTATAGCCTGATAATTCAGCAGTTCATTTGACTTTAGTAATCAGGTTTATGAAGAAAAACTGCAGACTTTGTACTCATTTCTATCCTTGCCCAATTTGCACAACCTGGCATAATGTAATTAATGAAGCTAATGGGCAAAGTTAAAATTAAGACAGTATCGGTGCAATTATTCCAGATATTACAGGTTCTGACAAGTAAAGAATTTTCAGAATCCTGCCGCAAATACATATTGATTATTGACAATCTGTGAGATGTCATAACAAGCAAAAATTAAAAAACTAATAAGCAGGCTTAAAATTAATAAATACAAATATATTCTGATAGTTTATGTGTTAATTATACTTTCTATTTGCAAAATTTCTTCAACTTTAACACAAAATAGAAAAAAAGTGAACTTTTAAGAAATTTGTGGGATTTCCCAGATTAGAAACAGCTGGGATCCCATTTGAGAAACCCTAAAAAAAGCATTTGAAATACTCACTACTAAGCAGTACAGTCGACCCCCGTATAAGATCATTGATTATTCTGTTTTATATGAATTCCATGTTGTACGAGTCACTTAGATTTTACAAATACGTGTACCGGGCTGTGAACGGCTCACGTAATTGTAAAATTTAAGTGACTTGTACAACATATAAAACGGAATAATCAATGATCTTATACGGGGGTCGACTGTAGTGAGCAGATAAACGAGCATAATGTATTCTATTAAGTATATTGAATGATCAAACACAAACAGTATGTTGTTATTCTGTATGTACAAATATATTTTCTAAAGTTACTTATTAGAACCATTTTTGGTGTGATCACGTAAAAAGATCGATAAACAAACATTTTTGAACCCCACCTGGGCTTTGCTTCAACTCTGGTTCTAAATTATTTAAATTAATTAATTTATTTATAATTATTAATGTTAATACGAGATGGCGCATAACGCTTACCTCTAGAGACAAATTGGTTACATAATTAATTTAGTAATTAGCCTTAAACTAGCCCGATAGAATTTCGGCATTTGGTTGGTGTTTAGCTATATATTTTCTAGGTTAGTTTTTGACTTATGACAAAACCTCAAAAACCTAACCTGTTCGTAAGTATGAGAGCACCTGTTTATTTGTTTATCAGATATTACTGCTTATATTTTGAAAAGTTTCTTCTTCCTATTATTATATTCTTATTAATATTAAAATATTTTTTATTCACATAAATCAGAGATGATGCAAATATTAAATTAGCTCTAAAGAAGAGCACAACTAAAAATATTTATTCACCACGCTTGACTAGTTTAAAAGTTATGTTTAAATTAGGCAATGAATTTTATTTCTAAATTATTTAAAATAAAAACTTATTTAATAATTAAATTTCTCTATAAATAACGCCAGAGTTGTAATATTTAAAATGTAATTATCATATTAATTCAATTTTATCCAAGCATTCATCTCTGTAATCCTGTTTGTTGAAAAGTCCATTAATTCTATTACTAGGTACAAAAATTAATACAATGATTATATAATACAAAAATAAAACAACTGCTAGTAAATTTTAATACCTTAAACAAAAGATGAGACTCAGATGGAATGCATATTTTTCTTTGTGGCTGTCTACATGCATAGTAATAATCTTCCAGCTCAGACAGATCTGTACCTGTAATTATTTCATATAAGTACAGTAAATAAATTACTATAAGTTTATAGTAATTAGGTACAGGTACTATGTAACAGTATAAAAAATTTCATATACTATAGAATATTACTATAGAAATTAATAATTAACACTAGATTATAACTGAGTAAATTCAGAATTTTGTGTGTCAAACAATTCAATATTTTCCTATATTTTTCTTTATTACTGGTTATGAAACAGCCAAAATTTGTGTGTGTGTATGTATTTAGAAGGTCCTGATTGGAATATCAGCATTTATATCAGTATCTGTATCTATTCTTATTACAAGTTTACATCAAGTTCACATTTTTAAGCTTTTAACATGAAAATTTAGAAATCTTCAACCAAGAATAAGCTTAAACATTGAAATTAATTTCAAGCTGAGTTATGGTTAACTTTTTAATTAATTTTTTTTGGCACTCAAACACAAAATTTGTGCTACTATTTAAAACACTTGGGCATTTTCTCATATTTATTCAGTTGAAAAGAAAATTTAAAAACACAGTTTGGAGTGTAAAGAATTTTTAATTAATTATTGAAATTTGGTACAACAGTAAGTATACTGTTGTACCAAATTTGGTAGTGTGTGCCACCTCATATAAATATTAATAATTAGTAATAATTTAACTAAAAATTAATCTGATGTTTAGCCTTGTCTTTAGTTCAAGTTTTGGCTTTTATATTATTTTCTACATTTTTTTTTAAACTGAAAATTTAACACTTGATCTTAATGTGCCATTAGAAACAGCTGGGATCCCATTTGAGAAACCCTAAAAAAAGAATTTGAAATATTCACTACTAAGTAGTAGTGAGCAGATAAACGAGCATAATGTATGATCATGATAGAGTTCCAAGAAATATATTATTAAATGAAAAATAGCATGTACAGTACTTAGACAAACCTATATGTATCTACTACTCATATAGGATATATGTAACACAATGATTAGTATTTATGCAACTAAATATAGAAATGGTACAGGTGATAAATTTTTCAGCTCCATTATAATCTTACAGGTCCTCCATCTTATACACAGTCTGTCATTAAGTAGCACTTATCTATGCACAAATATAATGTATAGTCAACCCCCTATAACATGGGTTCCTATAGTTCAGATTCCCATATCATGGCGAAAAAATTGCGACAGTATTCGTACAAACATGCTAAAAAAAACTCGTATAATTCAGTAAAATGTCATTGCCGACTCGTGTCGCGACAGGATTGGTTGAATCTAGACCAATAGCGGATATTGTACAAACTGTTGAGTTTAAACGAGCAGCGGACCTACTAAAAACCATTAATTATTTAACGTCCATAAAAATTATATTTATATTAATGATGTCTCCAAAGTTCAGTGAATTTTTCGCAAAAAAAAAATAATTTATCAGGAAGCACACAAGCGCCATTCGATGACAAGCTCCACAATGAAAACAAGCTTAAGCAATGGTGTAGTCGAATGGTAAGTAATCCTACAATTTTTTGTTTATAGCATAGTTTATATGAATTATTCCCAAAAAATTATATGTATTTTGGAAATGTTGAGTTGAATTAGTCCAGAATTGATTAATTTTATGGAAGAAACCTTTCAAACAGCTGTAGTCCGTAAACTGCATACGTGCCGGGCTGTGATTGGTTGGACTCATAAAAACCGGAACGTATCTACTGTGTTATGGGGGGGTCAACTGTATTCATAGATTTATCAACAAACATTACAATATGACATGTGAGTTAAACAATGTTGAATTTTTTTATGCATTGAAGTGCCTTTTTTAATCATTATAAAATGATTAAAAAAGGCACTTCAATGTCTTTTAATCATTGATGTTTCATTTTAAATTTTCATTTAACTCCATTTAAACTTGTAATGTTTGTATAATAATTCTAAATAATCAAAAATTACTTGTTTATAATTTTAAATTTTAAGGATTATCAAAAAATATCACTCATATTTTTCAAAAATGTTCAGAAAAGCTAGTAAGGATAGTTGTATGTTTCATCTTTAAATTAAGCCAGAAATGAATGTTCAGATACTGTATTTTGACAAGACTCAAAAGAAAAATTGATTCTAAAGTGTACAATTAATTAGATAAACTTGTAATTAAATATTTTACACTTTACAATTTTTAGGAAAGACATGTATTAAATTAGTATTTTTTGAAAAAATTGTAATAAAATTTCAAATGTGTATAAATTACAAAATTTAAATTCTCTAACATGCTTTACCCTGTTAATTAATTTAATTGTACTTAGCTATAATATTCTGAAAATCTTAAAAATGAACACTTACCATCAGGGCATTTTTTTCCTGTTTGGTTATCACACTGGTTATTTTCTGCTGCAGTTTCAGTAGACGACTTCAGAGCTTTCTCATCTCCAATCACTTCATGTAAAGATTAGATTGATTTTTAACCAAATTTTTGTAATATTTATTCTATGATGGAGTTTTTGTTAAATTTAGAAAATATCTTATACTTGATTATTGTCAAATTTGAAGTAATATTTCTGTTTAATATTTATATATGGGATTTTTTAAAAGTGAAATTTAGCTTTATTTAACAAACTGATATACAAGTTGATCATAAAGTAATGCATACATTTTGAAACAATATAAAAGAAAAGGTATTTGACCTAAGATGATACAGTTTGTGGAAATAAAACAATTCCTCAAACAGTTTTTGAAGTTATGTGAAAGGGTGCGGCAAGTCATCCAAAATCAAAATGAAAATGGCAGAATGTGAGCTGTAGAAGTCTGAACAAAATCAGTGGTTACTGTTAAGAGATAATGTAGAAGAGAATATGGAAACGATCCTCCATACATTAACTTACTGAGAGGTAAATGCAGAATTTTAAGGAGACATGATTGATTGCTGACTGACCTGACAGTACCTGACTTTCCATGTCATCTGAAGCAGCAGAGCAAGTACATGAATCATACTGGCATAGCTCTGGAAAATCAAGTTAGCTCACCGTTATGAGGGTGAGTGCTGCACTCACCCTTTGTTTTAAAACACTTGTAGCTTGGGCTTCTTTGAAGTTTTGTGGCCAAACTCTCGTCTACCTTTCTATCCAAGTATCTCCTTCAACAAGATACTGGAATCAGAAATAATAGTCATTGCTAATACTTTCAGTGTTACTTTTGTTTCAGTTGTGTTGGACAAGATAGTGCAGCACTCACCTGTGAGAATTCCTGTGTCTTTTTTCTGCACACAAAGTGGTACAATTCTAATTGCAAAGTGATATTGTATATATGCACTATCATAAAATGTGATGAAATATTTATGAAATGGCTTTATGAGGAGTCTGAGGAAGAAAATGTAGGTCCTTGCAACAACGAGAGTGAGGATCTCCATATGAAAATCCTAGAAGTGTTGAGAAAGAGACCAGATTCTTCACAGGCAACATCAGTATCAAAAGGAAAGTGTGCATATTACCCAAAAAAGAAGAATAGGAAAACAGCATCCAAAATTGTAACACGTAGCATACTCCACCAATTAGTAGATACCACATGATAACAATCTGCAAACAATGTAATTTTAAAAATCCAGACTGAACAGATTCAGAACTTGAATAAAAATTATAATTACATTTAACAATAATTTTAGATATTGTATTTCTGTTTTTATTGATCTGATTAGATATCAATTTTCTATTTCTATATTTAATTTTTAATTTGAAGGCATAGTTTGTCTGAAATTGGTAACCACCATTTATTCAAAAATACCCAATTAAAATTAATTGGATATTTTTCTGTATTTTAAAGGAATATTTTTAAACTTGATGACCAAGCAGCCTAAAAAAAAAAAAGGTCAGCTTGTCAATTGTTTGTATTCTGGAACACAAGAATTGAATAAATGGTGGTTACTAATTTCGGACAGACTGTCTTCAAATTAATTTTCATAAAATTGCCATCTGATGAAATTCTACAATTATTTCTATATTTAAATTAATTTTAATGTATTCTAACTGAAGTAAAGTAAAATAAATGTTAAAATGTGTATTATTCATAACAAAACTTCCTGATCTAAGTAAAATTTCTCGAGACAAATCATTAAGAAAACAAAAATATGTAGGGTGAGCGTGGAGCACATCCTTGAGTAACGGCATTACAAATCTGGTTGCAAGGAGCATCGGGTTAACATGCATTGTAATTCAACATGCTATCATCTTATATCAATTATCTTTTCAGTTGTAATGTTTCAAAATAAATGCAAAATCCTCTATAATAAAGGCAAAGAATTTATCATTTGATCTGCTTTTAGTACTAAGTATCTGTTATCAATATCTGGCAAGAGACAGATTGATGAATATGTGTAATATGAATTATTAATCATGTCATTTGCTAATATAAACATACACACTAGAACAGACATGTCCAACAAATCAATCATGATTGACCAGTCAATCACTGCATCATTTTTGGTTGATTGCAAATAATATGGCTTGTTAAAATGTGAAAAAACATTCATAATTTTAATGGGTTGATAATGCTGAGCTCTATGAGGTGTATTGGAAGAAGTATTCTTTGTGTTGATTGTCATTGTTGGTCATGTATGTCATTATTTTAGAAAATGTTTTATTATACTGTAAACAATTCAGTTCAGTGTAAAATGAGTGTGCCAAAGAAAACAAAACTTATGATTACTGTGACAGAAAGAAATATGATTTTTTTTATAGTGAAAAATAAATGATATTGTTCAATTTATATCTTAGTCTCTTTACAAAAATGAGATAACCTAGAATGCTAATTATTGTGCAATACATAAATACAACTATGTTTTGCAGAATAATTTCATTCGGGTGAATTATTAAGCTTTCATGAAACAAAAATGTGTAGTAATCATCAATATTTTTGACTCATATGTCAATCACTCCCCACTATAAATTGGCCAGGTCTACACTAGAAAATATGAGTAGTGCTACCCTGGTGAAGAGTGATAAAGATAAGCATTAAAATAAAAACTATATTAAAAGCTTGGTTATTTTAACTACCACTGCTATGTTTATCATAAAGTTTGAAGAGGATAAAATCAGGAAAAGGCTAGAGATTCAGGTTTTGTGGTAGCCTATATAAAAAATTTGATCCAAGTCAGTCACATGGTTTAGAAGTTAAAAGGGGAATGAAATGAGGTGTCAAACATTTTTAGTAGTCTATATTTTCCACAGGATTCCAGAGTATCTATGAAAAACCTGGTGCAGATTAATCAAAGGGTATAGAAGTGTAAAAAGCAGACAGACAGCCATTCTATTTTATCTAACTACAGATATGTCCAGTGCTGCTTAGGCAAAAAGTAACAACAACAAACATTATAATGAAAACCATATTAAGTGTTTGGCTATTTTAGCCTACCATTGTCATGTTTTATTGCAATACACAGATGGTACAAAATGGTGTAATTTCATTGTTAGACAGATAGACAGGAACTGACATTTTTCAACAGAAAACTGTCATCGACTTATATCTGCATGAGGAGATAATTCAAGATATCCAAATGTTTTCTAATGTTAACTTGAATGTGCCCAGCTGAATATGAAATGGCAATTGACAAACTAATAAAATTTTGCAAAAAGTGGACCAAATAATTAACTTGGCACCCTTGGAACCATATTTTGTGCTTACTGGCTGGTTTGTATTAAGTAATTTTCAATAAAAGAATATTACATTGAACGCTTCAAAGAAAATGCATTTTATTTTAATATTTTGAAAATATTCCACTTTAATTTAAAAATCCCATATATTTCTCTTAAAAAATTAATGCATGGTAAAGATAATGCTAATTATTACTAATATTAAAGATATAAACAACATATTTTAAGTCTCAATTTCATCAGATTGTCAAATAATATCTTCAAGAAATATAAACATTAGTCTAATTTTGCATTCTAACAACTTACAATTTAAGATTTAAACTTACATTATGAGCTACTCTATTTTTTGTATTTTATTTTCTATGACATTAGTTATTAAAAATTCTTTACAACTGCTTTACATTTTTTTTAAAAAACAATGATTTTCAACTTTATTGACATGAAATTTATTACATTATTGTGTTCAATATGTAAAACTCAATAAATAGTTCATATACACAATAATTTAAATATTCAAAACAAACTTAGAATTGCAGGTATTAGGTCTTAAGTGTAAACTGAACACACTCCCAACTTAATTTATTAATCTATATGCCTGAAATAACAAGATTTGATAAGATCAGGAATGAAAGGATATGGAAAATACATGGCTTCCTCAAAATATGGCAAATATAGCCATAGTTTGAGGAAGATAAAAGCATCTGAAGTCAAAGGAAGACGAAATGGCAGTAGGCCAATGGAAGGATTGTAAAAGCTGACGTGAATGAAAAAAAAATAGATTGAATAATACTTTAAATAGAAGATTTAAATAGAATTAAAAGAGAGATGTTTGATTAGTAGTAATGACTATTCAGGATATGAAAAAACTTTTTCATATCCTGAATACAGAGCGACTACCAAAAAGAAATATTTATTTATTTATTCAGAATTAAATTGGTAATATCAATGTTAATGACATTGAAGTTTATTTAAAAATAAACAAAAATTTAAAATCTTATTAGTTACATACATAAATTAATTGAGTTAAGTTATTAAGTATTAATGAATTTAAAGAAGTTTGTTTTTTGGAAGTTTTGCAGTAAGAATTCTAAATCATTTTGCATAAAATTGATGAAATATTAATAAAAATAAATTTTTTTCATTTTGAATTACTGCACTCTGAATGTAGAATACAAGAAAAAAAAATTAATAATAAGGTATTATTTTATATAAAAATGAAAAAATAAAATAAATATTAATACATATAAAATCTAATAAATTTTTGTTAATTTAGTAACATTAATATTAAACAATTTAAGTACAGTAGAACCTCGATTATCCGGACTAATTGGGGATGAAGGTAGTCCGGATAAGGAAAAATCCGGATAATCGAAACAAATACTTTAATTTGTCTTTTCATGATAATACAACACGTTTTCTTTTCGATGACATATCGGTAATATTAAAAGTAAATACTGTATTTAAATCGTGATCAAATTTTCAAGAAACAAACGTTCGTATTGAATTTGGACTACTACTGACCAACGCTAACAGACTACCTATTGTTTAAAAGGCCCTCTGGTGGCGCAAGAAGACGGATTTTATAAAATAAAAAGCAGTTGAAACTGCATTTTTATGAATAAAAATTTGACAAACTATTTATCGTTTTATGACGAGTAAAATTTTTTCGTCGCGTTCGCGGCTTTTAAGTAATGCATAAACCTTCGAGGCGCGAGGCCCTTCGGACCGCGAGGCATAGGCGGTGGCCCACGTCGTCCATGCCTTACGCCGCCCTTGGTCATAGAAATGATGTAATTTGAATATAAATTATTTATAAATACGTATGTCAAGTTATATTTTTATTACTACGTAAAATATATTTAAGAGTTTACGACCACTGTGCTGGGTGAGACGTTGTTGAAACAAAAAAAGTTATGCATTCCGTCACATACATAAACAGTGTCGTAATTCGCCAAGTGCAAATTAGCAAATTCGTAAAATTTTTGTTTATTTTGAACAATCCGGATAATCGAAAATCCGGATAATAGAGGTCCGGATAATGGAGGTTCTACTGTATATTAAATTTCAAATTAAAAAAATAAAACAAGAAAGTATGAATAATTAATAAGTAAAACACATAATAAACATTAAAATAAAATTAGTATATCTAAATAGAAATAATACAAATAAAATAAATAAAAAATAAAAACTAAAGCATAATAAAGATGGTGTCCTGAGACTATCTCACTAGATTTATAAAATTTTTTCCATTTTTGTCACATTTAAATTTGGAGTTTGAGTTATTTGTATTGTATCAAGTTTACTGTATTGTTCTTGAATATATTTTACACACTATTGCCAAAAATGTAACTGTGTTGTTGTAGTGTTATCAAAATAATGTATCTTATATCCTGTATTATCACTTGTTGTTGTGTCTGCTTTTAATAAAAAATCAAACTTAACTGGTTAATTAATCTCTATGCAGAATTTTATTTTATGTTTTTTATTATAACTGCATTAAAACTAACTGTCAAAATTAAGTGATCATCCATCTCGAATCTCCAGTAATTATAACAAAGTTGTGCATAATGTATGTAAGCATAATTAACGCAAAGATTTCAGCAGTAAATCTTATCCTGAATGCATATATTTTTGCTTTATATCTTTTTCAATGATATAAATTTGAAATATTTATAGCACATTATGAAGTTGGTGTTACTTAATTACAAATTTTGGAACTATTCTATATTATATAATCAATTTAAGAAATTATAAATTAGATTCTAACTAAACATGAGTGAGCACTGAATTTATTTATGTGATAAGATAATTATCTCTTGTTAAAATGAGTGAGATTAAGATTTCATGAAAACATAATATTTTAAATGAAATAATTTAAAAAATAGGGTTTTGCATAAGATAAAGTTCTGAAATTTATGACAACAAATATAGATGAAAGCATATAATTTACTAAAATTTTAATTTAATTTAGATATTACCTGGAGATTTATTTTCAGAGTCGGCAGAGACAGCAGGAGGTACATTTAAGGTTCCTATTATAGCACCAGTCTTTATATCTACAAGTACTTTGCACGAATTAGCAATAGTATTTTGTTTGTTTATAAGTGAATTTGCTAATGTATTCACTGATGAATTATTCAAATTTGTAACCTGAAATAAAAAAAAAGCATAGATTTACTCAATTTGCAATTAAAACAAACTCTTTTAACATTAATTTATTTAATAATATCATCACAAGTTTTTAAAATAGTTCATATATTCTCTAATGTAGAGTTACACCAACTGCTGTGAAATATCGGGCTGTATATGGCAGTTGGTGTAGTTCTATAGTAATGAACTGGGTTTTGTAGAATGTTTATATTTATTCTCTAATGCTTTAGTCAGTGAAAACAAATGAAAATTTAATATAGAGTAATAATAATATATTACCTTGCTTTATTTACTTTTAGTTTATTTAATAATAATCTTTATTATTATTTATTATAAAGTACAGTACATGACAATGTTAAAACTAAATATTGTCATGCAACAATCAATGATTAATTGAAGAGCTTATTTCCAAAGTGACTTATCTCCATTTTTTATTTTCTTTTAGCTCATAGCATCAACACATTGATAATATGCTTCTCTACAGTGCTACAATATATTTTTTTTCCGAAATGGGTGATTTTTCTGTTGAAAAATGTATAAAAAAATTGGTTTTCTTTTCAAATGGGACATTTTTCATTTTGTTTTTATTTCCAAACTGTCGCATTTCCATAACAGCCAATTACAAAGTGTATATTTGTCACATGACTATTTCACAGTAATGACTGCTTTCTGAAATGCAAGTGCTATTGTGTTTGATTGTTTTCTTAATTTTTCGTTAATAATGGCCACATTTTCTGAAAAAGTTCAAAAAGTATTTAGTCAATATGCTAGAAAGAGGTCGCATCCTTATTTTGTAGAAATTTTTGTAAGAAAAATCCAAAAGTCAAGAAAATTTATTTGTTTTGTGATGGATGTAGTGCACAAAACAAAAATTACACATTATTAGTAATGCTCAGTAAACTTTCAGTTATATATAGTGTAATTTTTGAGATTACATATCCAGTGCGAGGTCACAGTTATAGTTAGGGCCTTTGGAAGGGTGGAAAAATGTTAAGAAAAACCAAATTGCTTCTTTTACCATAAGATAACAATAAAATTTTTGAGCGTACAGAACAAATACATGTTCTTGGTAAAGACTGGCAACTTGCAATTCATTCACACATTAAGTCAAAAATGGATTTTAAAGTATATGAAATGAAAGTAATCAGAATAAACTCTAAATATGTTTGTTGCAAACAGTATTATTCTGATAGATCAGGGATATGCAAACATACAATCTTAAAAAGAGGTAAAAAATGGTCATATCTATCAGTTGATTTGTTAACATTGGAAAATAAAGTTAAGCTAGAAAAGATAGATGATGTGAAGAAACTTTTAAATAAACTGGGAATAAGTGATGGGCATGATGCAATGACATTTTACAAAAAGTATTTTCTTGTTTAGAAAGTGATTGATTCTAAATAGGTACTGTGACAGAATGATTACAATATGATTTTTAGTAATTTAATGTAATCATTATCTTTTTTCTTTCTTCTGAAATTAGTATAGATTTTTAAACACCATTTTTTATTATCTTCAATCATATGAACAAGGTTCGTGTGATTTTCATTTTTGTTTTGTACCATATTTTGTATATTCTCTTTTGTTTTTATATATTAAAAGTTTTTGACTACCTATTTGTTGTTTTTATTACATTATCCTTTTAAATGCTGCAATTTTGTTCCAAAGTGATATAAGTCCATGATTTAAAGTACCAAAACTACCATTTCAGGAATTTTTTCACCTATATTCAGAATATAAAAATAAAGCTCTATACCAAAAATTAAGTTTTTACCTTAACATTTAAAGCAATTATTTAAAATTTGCAGTTTTTGAAAATTTGTATTTCCTGGAGATACGTCACTTTGGAAATAAGCTCTTCAATTCTGAACTGCTTCAGAATTTACTAGACATTAAATTAGTTTCTATTAAAAACAACAACCAAGAATTTAATTTCAAATGTGCATCTACTCTAAGTTTAAAAAAAAAAGTTTCAAAAATTCATATAATTAATATCAGTTTGATAACATCTTGTACAAAAACTTTCACAACTCTTCATTAAAAAAATGCACAAATTTAATGAAATTTACAGAAAAATTATTTTAGATTCTCAAAAAATAATTCTTTATTTTTGTATGTTAAAGCTTTCCATTCATTTTCATAATCATTCTTTTGTAATTTGGTTTTTCTCATAAAACTTAAAAAACAGATCAATCAATTTGACTTCCACATTGTTCTGGAAAAAGAAAATTACAACTTGATACATAGGAACTAATTTTCCAAAATATCACTTTAACCTGCAATCGTATGTAATAATGGCAATTTTCCATGCCATTATTACATACATTCACCAAACTGACTTACTTAATTGGGCTTCCATGATATCCTCATGCAACATGCTATCCATTTGTGTAAAAATTTTTTCCACTTATCACAAGCCCTCACAAAACGACTGCAGAAAACTGCCACCTTATAAATGCGATTGTGTAAAATTTTTCTTTATCATCTCATGATTGCATATACAAGGCAGTGATTTTCCACTGTGATGTTATTTTTGGTGATTGACATCATCAAAAATAATGTCATCAATGGTTTATACAATTGCCATAAGTAGTAGTTGACATCATGGATATTTGTCAACTAATAAATGATGTAATGACAATGGTCCACAAGTCATTATGAACTTGAATGCTTGTCTTGGTAAGAAAGTCTGGAATGCTATTACCCTCAGCAATTTAATGTTTTCATGCCTGAAAAAATACAAAAAAAGTAATTTTCTAGTCCTTATGAGAAACAGCTCTCTATTGTTTATTTCCAGTTGAATTGGTTTCACATTAGCCCATGCCATTGCAAAGTTACATCATCTCCCTGGGAGAGCCTGGTCAAGGACACTGTTCTGTAAACAACACAATCTCTCAAAAACTAAACCACATATGACATTGAAATTTTGCATGTGCTGAAAAGACACACTTTAGCATTTTTAGAATATAAAACTTGAGGAAAAGCAAGTACATGTGTAATATCAGCAAAAAATCACCACCCAATAAATGCAATCATATGAAAAAAATAACTGCATGTGATTGCAGGTTGATGAACAAGCATAGAATGTTTATATAGTCTTGGATTGTCCTAGAGAACAACTTTTGCAATAATGTACTACTTAAATTATTCATTAAATTTGTGTATATAATTTTTAAAAAGTCTCATTAATACTTACAGTAGATGTTTTAGGTAACAAAATTGATTGTCGAGGTATTCTTTGAACTACTTGGATTGGTGATTGCGCTATCATTATTGGTGTCTGTTTAAGACCAAACGTCTCTTTCGGAAGACATAAAATGGGCATCTTAGAAATGACATTTGTAGATGTGTTAGTTCCAACAATGATTGTGGTAGTTGTATTAATTTGTCCACTAGTAAACACTGGTAAATTGTTATTTACAGTTGTTGTTGATTTTGAAATAGGCATAATTGGAGGAGTTAGAGGAGTAATGAAAAATGCTTTATTTAATATAGGTAAATTGGAAACTGTATTGGGAGGAATATTCAGATTTGTAGAAGTGACTGGAACATTTACATCTATAGGTTTACTTGTAATAAAACTGTTGGCAAAAATGACATTTTGATTAGTGGTACAAACAATTTCATCAGTTGATGAATTAATTAAACATTTCATAATTTTATCATTTTGGTCCATTTTCTGGTATGCAGTTAATTGAGTCTGTGTCAGTAATTCTTCATTACATTCCATCATTAAATCAATATTACCAGGATTTTCTTTTGCTGTTACATTTGATTCCAATGTAGAATTAGAATTTTGAAGAACAGATGATATATTAGGTTTATTGGACAAATCTGATTCATGAGCAACATTATTAAAACATGACACAACAGTAAGATTATTTGCAGCAGGATTTTCAAATTGATGATTCTCACCAATTATTTCATTTGCTTTTGAAACAATCATAGGTTCTGATATTTCTTCTTTCTTCTGAACATGGTCGCTTTCCTATAAAATTAAGTAAGTTACAATTATTTGATTTTCATAAACAGTTATTTATTATTGTATATTAATTTATTATATTTAATAATTTACCTAATTTTCTCTTACATTTATCTTAAAAATATTAAATGAAGTAATTTTATAAGGAATTGTGTTTATTTTCATACACTGAATAATTTTTATTGATTTGACTGATTGGACAAATTGATATTGAAAATTTGCATTTTCAAATCAATTTGTCCATAAAATTTCTTAAAAATAAAAACAAATTTCTGCAGAGAATAATAGAAGGTATTTCTTTCAAATCATCAAATTCATCTTATATACAGGTAACCCATTTATAACATGGTAGTTTCCACAAAAATGTCACCTTATGCGAGACTCACATTACATATACCATGTTGTTCAATAAGTTTTGTCATTCGAAAAGAAAAATATGATTTTATGGTTTGAAATAACATTTTATTATTCAATATAATCTCCCTGAACTTCAATACACTTGTTCCAGTGATCTTCTAATTTATGGATTCCATCCCTAAAGTGAGAATCCGGAAGACTGTCAAATTACGCTTCCACAGCTGCTATTATCTCTTCGTTCGATGAAAATCGTTTCCCATGCATAAATTTTTTGAGATGTGAAAACAGCCAGAAGTCAGAGGGAGCTAAATCTGGCGAATAGGGAGAATGTTGCAACAATTTGTATTTTAATTTACTGATTTTTGCGATGGTTTTTTGAGCTGTGTGAGAGGGTGCGTTGTCTTGATAAAAAATGAATTTTTTTCTTCTTTAAACCAGGTCTTTTCTCACAAATTTTTATATCCAGATGGTGCAAAATATTACAATAATAATCTAAGTTTATTGTTTTACCAGTTTGTATGTAATCCACAAACAAAATTCCTTTTGCAACCCAAAAAACTGATGCTAACACCTTCTTGGCCGATTTCTGAACCCTAACTTGCTTCGGAGCTGAAGTACTGGATTCGCACCACTCCTTAGCCTTTTGTTTTGATTCAGGATCATGGCGGTAGACCCAAGTCTCATCCATAGTGATGAAACGACACACAATCTTTTTTATCCTTTCTAAAATGCTCCAAATGTTGCCGAGAAAGTTACATTCGAATGTGTTTTTGTCCCATAGTTAGCGAATGCGGCACCCATTGTACACACAGCTTTCTGTAACCCAAAACTTCAGCCAAAATATTGCTCACACTGCCTAATGAGATCCTTAGGACTTCTACTAAATCTCTCTCAGTTAATCGATGATCTTCCAAAACCATACGCTGTATTTTTGATACGATTTCTGGTGTTGATGTACTTTTTGTACATCATTCACGTGAATCGTCTTCAAGACTTGTATGACCACATTTAAATTCAGCAACCCATCTTTCTACTGTTCTAATTGAAGGTGAAGAGTCATTACACACTTAACAATCGTTCATGAATTTGTTTTGGTGTTACACCTTCCAAAAATAAGAATTTTATCACTGCACAATATTCAATTATTTCCATTGTAAAAAAATACAGTGACACGTCAACTTTGAACAGCTTCAAATATATGAATGAGTTGACAGATCTACTTGAAACTTCACACGTGTTTATAAAATAGTAGTACAATTTTTAGAGAAATAAAGTGACGCTCCTAATAGCGCCATCTCTTACTGAACAACAAAACTTATTGAACAACCTGGTAAAAAGTAAGTTTATGTCCCAAAACTATTTTTTTAAATATAAATTTTCTCTCTCATGTAAAAAAAAAAAAACAGTTTTATTTAATTCAAAAAATTTCATTTAATGAAACAAAACAAACTTACTAAATTAATAAAATAAAGAATTGTAAGATTTATTAATGGCCATCAACATTGGTTGTAATACCAAACTTATCATACATAGTGTAGGAAATATAGCCCAATTAGGAAATCATCAATATTTATTGGTTTGTATTAACTGGAAAATGCATTTTGGACCTTCTTGTATAGGGACTGATGTGGGGCAATAAGGCCCAAAATGCATTTCCCAGTTAATATAAACCAATAAATGTTGATGATTTCGTAATTGGGCTATATTTCCTATACTGCATGTAATAAGCCTGGTATTACAATGGATGTTGATGGCCGTTAATAAAACCAACAGACAACAACCAGACACGAAGTAAATTCAAGTATTCAAGAATTGTTCATAACAATCTTTCTTTGACACAACAATAAATTTTAGTTGCTTCACTACTATCTTCTAAATCAACAGTTTGCAGATATTCTTTATTTACCAATGGCTGAAAGTCTTTAATGCTTGAAATCTTTTGGACATTGTTATAACTTTCAACTTCTGCTGGTTTAGTTTTCAAGAAGTCAGTTATGAGAGTTCATCAAGTGCTTTGTTGCTACTGTTTCTGAAGTTTGCTGTATGTTACTAAACAATTGTCTTTGAATATGATACACAGATGATTTCATATGAACTCTTATATCAAAAACCATGTAGTATAAGTACTGCATTATACAAAGATTATCTATACACATATAACATTTACTGTTAAAATTGATTTTTTAAACCATTTAAGAATATAATAAAATATATGCAATGATGACAAATACTGTAAACAGAATATACTAATATCAATGATTAATAATAAAATATTTAAATTATACGAGAGCTGTTCGGAAAGTTCGCGGCCTCAAATAGAACAACAAACAAAATAATGTTAAAACTTTTTTTATTTTTCAATGTACTTTCCTTTGTTAGCAATGCACTTATTCCAGCGATGTTCTAGCTTTTTTATGTCATCACAATAGATCGATTTGTCAAGGTGTGCAAAATACTCGTTCACTTCAGAGATGACTTCGTCATTTGAGTGGAATCTCTTTCCAGCCAAGAATTTTTTTAGGTTTGGAAAAAGGTGGAAGTCACTGGGGGCCAAATCAGGTGAGTACGGTGGATGTGGAACTAATTGGAAGCGAAGTTCGTTTATCTTTTGTTCAGTGATTCTGGCGGAATGTGCAGGTGCATTATCGTGGTGGAACAGAACTTTTTTCTTCTTCAAGTGTGGCCTCTTTTCTTCGATTTCTTTCTTCAGTTTTTCCAAAAGTTCACAGTAATAGACAGCATTAATGGTCTTTCCTCTTTCTAGGTAGTCAATAAAGATGATGCCTTTAGCATCCCAAAAAACCGAGGCCATCACTTTACCCGCTGATGGAACTGTCTTTGCCTTCTTTGGTGGTGGCGAACTGTGGTGTTTCCATTGCTTCGACTGTTCTTTTGTTTCAGGAGTGTAGTAATGGATCCACGTTTCGTCAGTAGTCACAAACTGATGCAAGAAATCCTCTGGATTTTTCTGGTAGAAGTCCAAACACTCTTTTGACATCAAAGTGAGAACATGTTTTTGCTCAGTGGTCAGCAGACGCGGCACCCACCTTGCTGAGACCTTCGTCATACCCAAATTTTCGATTAGAATGTGGTGCACTCGGTCGACAGAGATGCCTGTTGTCTCAGCTTTCTCACACATTTTCAAACAGCAATCTGCTAATACCAAATCATAAACTTTGTTGAAATTTTCTTCAGTGACAGCAGTTGACGGCCGTCCGCTGCGAGGGTCATCTTCCACACTCTCTCTGTCAGATTTAAAAAGGGCTATCCATTTTTTCAAGTGGTGTATGAAGGAGCAGACTCTCCCAAAACTTCATCCATGTCAGCTTTGATTTGAGATGGGGTCAACCCTTTTTTCGTCAAGTATTTTATGACTGCACGAGTCTCCATTTTCTCCATTTTTGACAAAACATGTGCACACTAACTATCTGCTAAGCTGTCATGGCAAAACTTTATGACAAATCAAGCGAAAATTGGTATCGTATCTCTAGCAAAGATGGCTGAATTATTCCAGCCAAAAATTAAATTGATCGCAGCGCTGCATATAGGCAAGGCCGCGAACTTTCAGAACAGCCCTTGTAAGACTGTTAGGTCTATGTTATTTTAAATTTGTTCATGTTTCAAATGAATTTATCATGCTTGGATAACATGATCCAAAAATAAATCCAACATAACTTTTCTTAATCTAAATAAAAGTTATGCTGCATACCTTGTAGTAATTCAACATGAATTAAAACTCACCTGTACATTTAAATCAACATCTGGCAAAATTGTTGGAGCTGCTCCAGCTTTCAGCACTGGAATTTTCTTACAAAATTTTCGTTCTTTATCATTAATAAGAACTGTTTCATATCTAAGAATCAGTGATTCGTCGAAATGTCTTAGACAAACAACAGGATTTTTTAATTTGCTAAAATCAGTCTTGACTCCTTGTGACCATATACTTCTGTCAGGTTCTTTTTCAGGCACAGCAAATAACGTAACATGTTCACCATTATTTCTATAATCAGAATTACATCCATGCACACAACAAACAGTAGGCATATCTATGAAAAAAAATATGTAATATAAATATATAGATACACACACATACACACAAAGTATATTCTACACAGACCACTCTCTGAAAATTAAATTTAATGTGAATTCAATGTTCTAAATAATCTAGATCTTATAATGTAGATATTATAACTCCATTACAATGAGTTCTTAATCATTTTTTTTTTTTGTGAGGAATAATTAAGAAATTATTGAGAATATGATATGTTGACAAATTTATCATGCATGTGACAAATCATATAATCATTCATTAGGTTTTTTTTTTGTATTTGAACTTGAAATGGCTGATAAAGCAGCTAAAAATGCTTGTTAGTTTACAGTTTTAATAGTTTGTTGAATTGAAGGCTTTTTATTAGTACAAATATTGTTTGACTGATTAATTTATCAATGTTAAGACACTAGCAAATTAAAGATCATATTGCCAGATAGATTTTTGCTAATTACAGGCAGGTAGATAATGTCAATGACAGTACATAGAAGCAAGGATGAGAAATGGGGAAGGATGCACTTAACAAATTACTAATAATACATTATGAGGGTCCAGAAAAACAAAAAAAAAAAAAAAAGATAAATTTATGAGTATTTTAGATGTTATCTTTGTCAGCAAAATTTACAATATTTTCTTTCTTCTTAGATAACATATCAGCCAAAAGAGTAACTTACAAAATAAATATTTCTCAAAATCTTAAAGCAAAATTACATTTTTAAACAAAAATGTGTCGTAAATTTTCAACTGGTGCCTTATTTTACATTTTTAAAGTCATCAAAAACAACCTCAAAATGGCAAAAAAATCGTGATGATGATGTTGTTATTGTTATTTAATAGATCTGAACATAGAT